ATAGTAAAATTTTTGCAAAAATTAATTTATTTCCAAAAAAAATATCACAAAAGAATTCCATTTTTTTAAAACTATTAATAACATTTTTTGAAAAGATTCAATTATTTTCTAAAATTTTAATAAATCCTTTAAAACAATTTAATTGATTTTAAAAATAGTAAAATTCTTTGAAAAAATTCAATTATTTTCAAAAATTTTAATTAAATTCATTAAAGAAACTCCATTATTTAAAAAACATTCAAAGAAATTCTTCAAAAAGAATTTAATTAGGATCATTAGTATTTTCAAAAATTTTAACAAAATTCTTCGCGAGAATTCAATTTTTTCCTAAATAATAAAATTCTTTGAAGGAATTCCAATATTTATCAAATTTTCTGATAAAAATATTTGCAACAATTCGATGATTTTCAACACATTATTTTTAAAATTGAAAATATTTAAAAAGAAAAATTATTAAAAAAAGTTAAGAAACAAAAATATATCAATTATTATAGAAGATTTCTGACAGTTTATAATTTTTTATATTGATTGCTAATTAATTAAAACAGTTAATTTCTTATTTTTAATTAATAGTCTGATAGATCTAAATTTTTATTACTGATTAATGTTGAGAAAACCTTTTAATTATTATTTGAAAATTTAATTATTGTTGCATTTTTTAGAATATGAGAAATTTAAACCCTATTTAAAAAATGCTATTATAAAGTAATTATTTTATAATAAAGTGAATTATAAACTTGACAAAATTTGGATTCTCTTTCTAAAAATACATATTTACATATTAGGTTTTTGATAAACATTATTATTATTATTTGATAAATAAACAAAATTGTCATTATTCCAATTTCCGAACGATACAATTTCTTGGTCCTTCTAAAATTTAGAAAATTAATGCACTTTTCTAACCTAATAAAAGTCCAGAAAAATTTGTTTTACTTATTTGAAAAAAAATTTAAATTTAAATTTTTTAATTCAGTAAAAATGGCAATTAATTTTCTTTACAACTTAATATAGAAATTTTTTAAAAAACATTTATTTTATTTTCGCGCGAATTTCTGTCTAGCTTAATTTCAATGTCATTCCTTTAAGTTCTCATACATAATTAGGTGATTATATTTCTTTTAAATGCAAGTTGCCTATTTGTCTTACAAGGTTTCTTTTTAAACGATATGTATATACGTTTGTTTGTTAAATGTGTGTGGATTTGATAGCCTTCACAAAATATTCGAACCACACTTTCATTTGAAGAAAAAGAAGTAAAAAAAAAATGTTAAACAAACAACAGATTGTGCCAATGAACTCATCGCTTCTTGTTCACGTAAAAATTATTTTTTTTTCAAAAAGTAAAGAAAATATAAAGAAATGTTTGAAAAGCAATGATGTCAATTGGTTTACCAGATGTACCTTTAAAATCAATAAATAACATTTAATAAGTAATAATAAAAAAAAAAATTAAACTGCGTTATAATTTCAATAATTAATATAATTACTATAATTTTAATAATTAATATAATTACTTGTAATAAATAAGCAAAAATCATAAAGAATTAATTAGGTTTGAAAAAATTAAAAATATAAATCATTAACTAAATAAGAAAATAATAATTATGAAAAATGTTTAAGAATCCGTTACCTTGACAGTAAATAAATAAAGAAAGAGGTACATTAATATGAATAAAATAAATATTACAATAATTAAACATTTAATTAAACATTCAAATCTGTAAAAGATAATTAAATCAACATTTATGTAAATTATAATAAAAAAAAAAAAATTTTTTTTACAGTGATTAATATTTCAATACTATAGAGTAATTAAAAATCGATTGTTAATATTGCTTATTGCAAAAAGATTTTAGAAAAGTTTAACATTATCTCTTGTTCATTAAAAAATTCTTATCTCAATCGAAAAGAAATGAATTTTTGATCCAAAAATAGAGAAACATATACTCTCATGATTTTAAAAATTTCTGCGCATTTTTCCAAATGAAGGTCATGTTTAATCTCACTTTTAAGCAGAACACGCATTTTTTTCACATTTTAATGAAATTCAAGGACTTGAATCATAAAATCTTATATACTGGTGAAAGGAAATGACTTAATAATATATTATACTTGCATAAAAATAAATATAAATTTTATTTTGTCAAGCGATAAGAAAAATATAATAAAATGTATTAGCGACAATTTTTATCACACATAAAAGTAAAAAATTAATTAACATTGATTTATGTAAAAGCATAAATGAAAAAAAAAATTAAAACAGAAATAAAATTTATTAATACGATACCAAAAATGATAATAATTTTTATTATTAATAATAGACAGATAGTGGCAATAAAATAAATAGTAATAACACTGATAGTAGTAAAAATATTTTTTTTATGAAATTCCAGTGAAATATTCCCATAATCAAGTAAAAATTTCCTTCGTTTTGCAAATTGGTCCAGAAAATATAGTTAAAAGAATGAATTTTTATCAAATTCGTCACTCACGACACAGGAGATTTTGGTGTGTCTGATTGCAAATTTGATTTAATTAAAAAAAAACAAAATGGCGGTTCCAAAATGGCGGACATAAAAACAAAATGAATTTTCAACTAAAATTCTTCTTTAAGTCAATTTCTTAAAAATGATTTTTGAAAAAGTTCTTTGTGAATTATCAAATTAATTTGTTTACAATTTCATTTTACAAAATTTCGATTATTCTAAAATTCTTCAATTAAATATATTAGAAATTAAAAACTTTAAATAATTAAAAAAAATTCCATTAAACTTATTAAGAAAAATGAATTCTATAGAATTCTTAATTAAAAGTATGAAAAGTTCAAAGATTTAAAGAAATTCATTTTTAAATCAATATTTATTAGAAAATTCTACGAGAATTCAATTATTTAACTAATAAAAATAAATATTTTATTAAATAATTGAATGTTTCTTAAAATTAAATTTTCATAAAGAATTTTATCAACAAATTTTTAAATAATTGAATTCTCATGACAAATTTTAATAAAATTTTAATTTTAAGAATAATTTCATCTTTCGAAAAATTCGATTAAAATTGTATTAAAAATAGTTGAAATTCTGTGATGAGTTTTATTATTTGTGAAAATAATTGAATTTTTGGGGAAAAATTTTATTATTTATAAAGGTAATTGAAATTTCGACGAGAATTTTTGTAAATTTTTTAACATAATAATTGAAAATAATTCTTTTTTTTTCAATATTAATAAAATTCCTGAAATAATTGAATTTTGCTAAAAGTTTTATTAAAATTCATAAAAATAATTGATTATGCAATAAATTTTAATAAAATTCCTGAAAGTAATTGAATTTTTGCAATTTTCGTATAATTTATTAATTTCTATAAATAATTAAATTTTGCGAAGAGTTTTATTGAAAATTCATGAAAATAATTGGATTTTGCAAAGAATATTATTAAAAGTCCTGAAAATAATTGAAATTCTGACAAGAATTGTATTAAAATTTTTGAAAATAATTGAATTTCGGAGAAAAATTTTTCAAGATAATTGAAATTTTGACGAGAATTTTTGTAAATTTTTGAACATAATAATTGAAAATAATTGTTTTTTTTGCAATATTAATCAAATTCCTTAAGGAATTGAATTTTACAAAAAGTTTTATTTAAAATTCATAAGAATAATTGAATTATGCAATGAATTTTAATAAGGTTCCTGAAAGTAATTGAATTTCTGCAATTTTAGTATAATTCCTTAAAATAATTGAATTTTGCTAAGAGTTTTATTGAAAATTCATGAAAATCATTGAATTTTGCAATGAATTTTAATACAATTGCTAAAAATAGTATTAAAAATCCTGAAAATAATTGAATTTTGTGAAGAGGCTTATTAAAATTGATGAAAATAATTGAATTTTGCAAAGAATTTTATTAAAAGTCCTGAAAATAATTGAAATTCTGCCAAGAATTATATATTAAAATTTTTGGAAAATAATTGAATTTCGGAGAAACATTTTATTATTTGTGAAGACAATTGAAATTTTGTAAATTTTTGAACATAATTGAATTTCTGCGAAGAATTATATAATTTTTGAAAATAATTAAATTCTTGAGACAAATTTAATAAAAATTTCTTTTTAAATAATTAAATTCTTTTGTAAAATTTTTGTTGAAATAGCAGACATTGAAAATAATTGTATTCTTTAAAGAAATTTAATTAAAAATATATTTATAATAATACTTAAATTCTAATAAATAAATTGTAGCAAAGGTTATTAAAATAATTAAATTTCTTTTGATAAATTTTAATAAAATTTTTAAGAATATGTAACTTTTTTCGAGGAATTCCATAAAAATTGTATTAAAAATAATTGAAATTCATCATTTAGTTTTATTATTTATTTAAATAATTGAATCCTTGTAAAAAATGTTATTATTTATAAAAATAATTGAATAATATACGAAAATAATTTGTAAATAATTGAATTTCTGTGAAATTTTTAGTATTTATGAAAATAATTAAATGTTTGCGTAGAAATTTTATTAAAATTATTGTTAACTAATTGAATTCTTTTAGGAATTTTTATTAAAGTAATAGATATTAAAAATCATTGAATTAAAGGAAAGTTTTTTAAAATAATTGAAATTTTGACAAGAATTTTATTAAAATTTTTGAAAATAATTGAATTTCTGATAAGAATTTTACTATTTTTTAAAATAATTGAATTTCTGTAATCATTTAGAATTGCTTCAAATTTCAATTTGATTTAGTGTTCGGTTTAAATATTCTGAATATATACTCTTAATGGAATATTTCAGGAATTTAAGTGGAATACTCCCCGCTGTTAGGAAAAGAAATGTATTTATAAATTTTTAAAAAACATTCAAAGTTGTTATTTTGCATAAACATTGGTAACATTTTCTGCCTGAATTACGTGAAAACAATAAAAGTGTACATCATATATTTATGGATTGTTTGCATGAAAGTGAAATATAGTTTATACGTCTTCTGTTTTCTGTAGGTTTTCAGAATGCGCCAGGCCACAACGGAACAACTTTGGAATTTGGACAATGCTTCATTAAAAGGCATCGACTACTCACTTAAAAGGTAACTTTTCATAATTATCAAAAATTAGAAAAAATTTATGCATATAATTCATTACCGTCACCAACAATTGGCTAAACACCCTAACACAGAAAAAATGGTAATCTAATTTTAAGAAGCTCCTACTTTAATAGGAGCCAAGAATATTCTCCACTTAAATTAAGTGCCCAACTTAAATTAAGTGGGGCACTTAATTTAAGTAGGGAATAACTTAAAGTAAGTGGCCTCACTTAAATTACAAAATTCTTACAATAAGATTGATATTTTTATTGTAAGAATAATGCGCCAATGCAGATAGCGTTGAGTGACCATAACACGTCAGCTTTGTATAAATGATTTTAAAATTGTGTTAACAAAATGACACAAAGCAAAAATTAATTTTTGAACATAACAAATTTTTTCTTAACTAAAGTTCTTCTAGTAGACTTCTAGTAGACTTTCTTCAAATTAATTTTCATGGGAAAATGTTCTTTTCTCAAATTTTTTCTTGTAATTAACGGCTAATAAACAGACTTTGTTTTGTAACGACCAACCCACGTCATTTTCTTTGAAAATAAAAATTAGAAGAGGGAAAACATAAAAGTAAACGATAAATATTACAAATGTGATTCAATTACAATAATAAAGGTGACTGATAAAAATTGCTTATCACTTTGTATGGCTGTTTAACCGCTTCACTTAATTTCGATTTCATTTTCTTTTTTTTTTTTTTTTTGCCAAATAAAATTCTCTGAGTCAAGTAATTCGACTTCTGTATGAAAAAAAGAAATCAATTCTTTCTTTATTGAACAAAATTTTTGGTGCACAAGAGAAATATGTAACATTTGCAAAAATCTAACAGATCGACTTCTTTGTCGTTAAATGCCGCCAGAGGCATTAATTTCAAAAACAAGGGAAATGCTTGTCTGATTTTGCATTTTATTTTACAAACAAAATGTTTGCAATTTGTATGTATTATTAAATTTTTAAAACCCTGTTTTAGTTCTTTAACAATTTTTGTAATTGAGTTTTCAGTTTAAATTTGAATTTAAATGTAATTTGCAGTCGTCATCGTTTTCTTATCAATTATGATACTCTTATCGTTTTATGTCACTTTATAAAATTTAAGACTTTGTTCACCTTGGTTTATATTTACATTTTAAACTTTTTATGTTGTTTATAAATTGTAAAGTTTAAAAAAATTCATCCTTAAATTTTAAAGCTTTTAATTTTAGTTACACTTACCATGTTTTGTCATGTTAATTCATCATGACAAAACTTTTTTTATTCTTTAAGTCAAAAAGTTCAAAAGTGCGTCTCAACACTGAAAAAAAAAAATTCTTAATTTAAGAATATATGCTAAAAAAAGATGTCCCACTTAAATTAAGTGGGAAATATTCTTACCATAAGAATATATTCTCATTGTAAGAATATTTCCACTTAATTTAAGTGGGACATCTTTTTTTAGCATATATTCTTAAATTAAGAATATTTTTTTTTTCAGTGAAAATTTAAAATGCCAAGTATTCAGAAAAAGGAACAAGTAAATTCTAATTAAAGAAAAATAAATTTTCTTTCTAGAATATCGCAGGAGAGTCAAATTAAGGAAATCATGGCAAGAGTAAAATTCCCTTATGACGAGATCGCTGAATCATATTCAGAAGCTGAGAATACCAAGTCAAAGGCAAATTCTGAAAAGCCAAAAATAGTTCTTTGTAAGAATAACTCTATTGATTCTGATGCATCAACTAACGATTCAACGAGTGATGATACACCAGAATCATCACATTACTGTCCACCACCAACCTATTCGAATAGTTTCGGCGATATTATTGAGCAAATAAAAAAGTTGAGATTCATTCGATCCTGCAGTAAAGTTGAAAAGAAATTATCAAATTCAAGGGAGAAGTCAAATTCAACGGAGTCGATGGATAATAATTCAAAAGACACTGAGCTAACAAATGATGATGATGATGCTCTCAACTCAAATTATTGTAAACAATATTATCAAGTAAACATGTACAACGATAAAAAAGATAAAGACGACGAAGAGAGTTTGAATACAACCGATCTGGATAATCAATCAGATGATGAAGGTGACGACGATGGGAACCTCATTGAGCGAGGACCTGTCAGGCCACAATTGAATGCAATTCGAAGTAAACCCTACGACACATTGGATTGGCTACTACAATCTGATAACTATCCACCCCACGAATGTACCGATAGACAACAAAGTGAAACTTCTGATTATGAAACAAGTATCCAACAATTATTAACTGATACGGATTATCGAGAGAGACTTGATTCTTGTCTGGACCAATTGTCAGATTCTAATAAAAAATCTCCACTGTTCAATGAAAATTTGGATCCAAACCAACGACAAAAGTTTTCCAATGTCCAGCAATCAATGGTGAGCTTCTTGGATGATTGTTACTTTTAATGATTGAATTTTATTTCTAACCATTTTGATGAATGTTTTAATTATTAAGTTCATCATTGAATTGAAAACAAGACCTAATTTTTAACACGTAATTTTCTTTATTCAACACGTAAATACAGTTGTGGAATTTGAAATCAGACTTAACTAATTTTTTTATTTAACACGTAAATACAGTTGTGGAATTTAATTAATTTAATTTTCAACTGTATTTACGTGTTGAATAAAGAAAATTTTAGTCAAAAAAAAGTTAATTACTCGAACAATTCTATTAATTACTGTAGACGTACTCTTCGACGAAAACTCCTCCTGCAATTTTTGTGAATAATCCAGAGGGGACTTCACTTTTGGATATTTTGGCTCGAGGAGGATTTCAAGCAGCTCAAGTTTTCTCCGATTGTGGAACTACAAATGGTTCATCGCCAGGAATGAATTCAGAAGCTTGGCCTGATTCGCCTGCTAGTAGTTATAATGTTATTTCTTCAAGACCAAACAGTCGTGCTTCGAGTAGAGCACAATCACCAGGTTCTGCTGTGATGCCCATTAATATTGCAAGCAGTCCTGCTGGTTCATCTCAGGTACAATTTTCATCAAAGTTTCATTTTTTTTTTTTTTAACAATTAATTGTCTGAATACATTCAAACTCGATACAATTTCAGACTTCGCACTCGATAATTAATTTTCAAAAAGTAGCAAAATGTAGCTTTCAAACTGAAAAATAGTAGTAAAAAAGTAGCCGTACAAAAATTAAACTTAACGACCAAAAAAACTCGTTTTAGACACTTTACAAAAGTGACAAAAATTCCATTCTTTTTTTTTTAGTTTCCTGACTTTTATTCCTAATTTTCATCAAAAATATTCATTTCTTCTTTATCCGGCTAATAAATTGAATTCATGAAAACAAATTTTATTATTCATGAAAGAATTTAAATATTTATAAAAATAAATTAATTCTTGTGAAGAATTTTATAAAAAATTTTAAAATAATTGATTTCTTTCGACTAATTTTATGCAAATTCTAATTTAAATAATTGAATTTCTGAGAAATTAATATTATTCATGTAAAGAATTAAATTCTTAGAAAGATTTTTACAAAATATTTTTTAAATAATTGAAGTTTGTTTGGAAATTTTAGAAAAATAGTGGATATTGAAATTCATTGAATAGCGAAAAGTTTTTAAAAATAATTAAATTTTACAAAGAATTCTATTACAATTTTTGAGAATAATTGAATGTCTGTGTGGTATTTTATTAATTTTTTTTGGAAATAATTGAATTCCTAAAAAGTATTTTATTATTTATGAAAATAATTGAATTCTAGCGAACGATTTTATTAGAATTTTGTAAAATAATTGAATTTCCAAGAAAAAATGTATTAATTTTAAAAATAATTAAATTATTGTCATAAATATTGTTATTTATGAAAATAATTTAATTTAGCAAAGAATTTTATTAAAATGCATCAAAATAATTGAATTTTCGGGAATAATTTCTTATTTATCGACACAATTGAATTCTTTGGAAGAATTATTTATGAAAAAACTTTTCAAAAAATTTTGTGAAATAATTCATTTTTTCGATGAATTGAATTTTTAAGAATAATTACATTTTTTGAACAATTCCTGTAATATTTTATTAAAAATAATTGAAATCTTGCGATGAATTTTATTATTTATGAAAATAATTTAATTATTGTTAAATTTTAATAAAATGTTTACAAAAAATTTAATTTCTGTGAAAAATTTTTGCTTTTTTTGTAAATAATTGAATTCTTCCAAAGAATTAAAAAAAAAATTTTTTTGAATAATTTTTTTTTTTTGAGAAATTAAAATTAAATTTTTAAGAATCGTTACATTTTTTTAGCAATTCCTGTCAAATTTTATTAAAAATAATTGAAATCTAGCGATGAATTTCATTGTTTATGAAAATAATTGAATTATTGCGAAAATTTCGTTAAAAAACGTTTGAAAAGAATTGAATTTATGTTAAATATTGTTGTTATTTTTGAAAATAATTGAATTCTTCATAAGAATTTTTTAAAAATTGTTATTGTTATTAATTAATTTTTTTGAAACATAATAAATATTATGAAAATTTAATTTTAAATAATTGAATTCTTGTGAAAAACTTTATTTGTGAAAATAATTGAATTTTTCGATTAATTGATTTAAAATTTTAAAATAGTATTAAAAATAATTGAAATTCTTCGATGAGTTTTATTATTTATGAAAATAATTGAATTCTTGCTTAGAATTTGATACAAATTTTTTTTTTTAAATTGATTTTTCATGACAAATTTTATTATTAGTGAAAGTAATTGAATTATTGCGAAGAATTATATAAAAATTATGTTAAATAATTCATTTTTTCGAAATTTTTTTAAAAATTCTGTTCGAAATTAATTTTATTCTTGTGAAAATTTTATTATTTATGAAAATATATTAGGTTTGGATGAATTTTATCAATTTTTTCTTTAAATAATTGAATTCTTTTGCGAAATTTCATGAAAATACTTGATTGAATATAATTGAATTTCGAATATTTTTTCAAAATAATTGAATCTTTTTAAAGAATTTGATTATAATTTTTGAGAATAGTGTTTTGATTTCTAGCCATAACGAATTTAAAGTAGTGGAAATTCTTAAAAAAAAAAACATAAATATTAGCTTTTAGTATCTGAAATCTAAAAAAAGTACTCAAATAGTAGCATAAGGTAAAAAAAGTATTAAGTAGTAGGTTTTACTAGATGAGTGCGAAGTTTGTAATTTTAAATTTTTCTATTAGAGGTCCTGATTTTACCTTTAATTTTTAACTACAAATGTATAACTTAAATCTTTGAAACTTGATCCACTGTTATTGGTAAAAGTGGATCAAAATGGATCAAAAGTGGATGTAAAATGGTTATTACATGTATTTTGAATTTTTAAGAAATGTTTCAATGAGTATTATACTTGAATGTTATTATAGTTTTAGGAACTGAAAAAATACTAGACAATAATTTTTTTCTTGATACTTTAACATAATCTTGTAAATGTTTAAATTTAATAACATTATTTTAAAGTAATACTTGTTGTTCTACTTAAAATTAAAACAGAATATAGTTTTAATTTTTAAGTTTCTAACTAAATAAATGAATATTTATTGTTTTCAATTATTTGACTATTTCTAACAAGAACTTTAACTTAATTCAAGCTTCGTAAGTATATGTCAAATAAAAAAAAAGTCCCATTATGTAAAACATATAATTAAAACAACTTGACGAAGAAATTTTATCAAGCATAAGTTGTAAAACATGTAAAGGCAATACTGATATGTATATATAAAGATACAAGAGAATAACAATCAACTATTAGATTACATTTGAAAATAGGGGAAGCCCTCGATTTTCCGCGAAAACAGCAATAAAAGTGAAAAACTAAAAATTTTTCCATTTGAAACATTTGGCACCTGGCAAAATGAAACGAAATTCTAAAATATCCCCGAGGCATATTTTTTTAACTGAAAAAATAATAAATATAATGCTTCTGTTTGTTTTTAAAACGGTTTGTGGACTCTCTCGATGTTTTCCTTATTTGTATTTATTTTCGCTCTTGTCATATATTCTTTACTTTTGTGGTAGTTTTACAAGTAAGCTAATACTTCAATACCTCGTAAAACAATTGTTAAATAACTGCAATTAAAAACCGTTATTTATTTATAAATAAAACTTTGTACTGTTTAGACTAAAGGAGTCACAAATGTTATATGTTGACCAATAAATTTTACAAAGACAATGAGTAAAATCTTATTAGTGTGATAGATTCTTTAACCGAACGTCATGTGTTATAAATAAAAATCTTTCTTTAATTGCAGATTTCTTTAAGTTTTCGATCACCTCACGGATTTTCTTCATCGTCCTCATCTAATCAATCCTACTGTGAAACGCCAAGTCCAGCGAATTATCATTCACCGTTGGATAGTCGATCTGAAGATCATCTTGACGAGAGATTTAATAGATTTGTCTCCTGGCAGGAGAGTAATGAATCTTCGGGAACAATTGTCAATACAGCGGAATTAATCGACGCGATAGACAGCAATGAACTTCAGTTAGTTGAGGAAGTTGTTTTAAAGGAATTAAGCAGAAAAGGCTGTAATTTGGAAGAAATGCAGGTAGTTCCTAATTCACAACTTGCCTTCAGAAAGTTCGAGTCTCCCGGATCTGTACAAAGTCCAAGGGATAAAGAATCACGATCTTCATTGGATTCTGATCACAGAGCCGCAACTGAGATAAAGAATGAGAGAGCAGACATGAACTTCTTCAGTGATTCCTTGAACTTTGGAAGCACGGGCAGTATCATCAATGAAGCTCAACAGAGTTTAGTGTATCCAAAAAGTGGCGATGGCTTTGATTTGGTTTATTCGGAAAATCAGTCGCCCGTTGGTAGTTTTAGGGAAAAAATGTCACCAGCTAACAATTATGTTGGTAATTCATCACCGAACAATAGGTACATTGACAAGTCATCTCCAGTGAGTTTGGAAATTGATGCAACAATTGAAAACATTATTGCCAATTATTCCAAAACGAATAATGGAGAAAGCACAAATGACACTATGAACTTTGACATGAATTTGTTTGAATGTGCCAAAAGTACTTGTCCTACATACAATGTTTCATCAACCGTCCAAAATCACCAACATAATTTTATTTCACAGCCACCATCCACGTCTACATTTAACGAGTTCCAAGTGCCTGAAGTTTTAAGAAAGTAAGACATTCTTTGCAAATTGTTTCGAATTTTTTAATTTTAGAAATTTGACAATAGATTTTCATAACTGTTTTAAAAAAACGAAAAAGAACTTAACCCTTAACTTAACTAAACCCTTAACAGCGATGACAAAGATTTGACGGACAAAATTTTGTCATCAGCAGTTAAGGGGTCATCATTGCAAAGCGTTGCAAAGAAACGTTTTCTGAAAAGTTGTACTATACGAAAAAAACATTCTTTTTGGTTTAATAATTTTCCCAACTATTGAGCTACAAAAAATTAAAGAAACAATATATTTAATGCAGACATTCGAGACGTCATGTGGCGCCTTGGTCTTCTCTGAATCTTCCTTCGACAAAAGCGTGTGATAAATTAATTGAGGAATTGAACCCCAAGGATGTGGAAAGGGCCATGGCCAGTCTATTAAAGAAAACGTCAGAGGAATTGGCGAAACCTGATAAAGACGGCGATACGTGAGTTAATTTGTCACTATTGATCGCTTTAAAAATTGTTCCACATTTAATCACTAAATGATTTATAGAGAATAAAAACTTATTTAAAAAAAGACTTTAATAAAAGTTATTGATTAAAATATACTGAATAAGACGCTAATAATAACTTTAAACAAATATGAATTTAATGTTACTAAGAGCAATTTATTTATCAAAGAAAAGTACATAACTTTCAATTGAAAATTTCAAATATAATTTGAATAAAAATAAAACAAAGACTATAAAAAGAATTAATATATAAATGTTTGAAATAAAATTAATATAAGAAATAAAAATATCAATTAAACTACTACAACACCTGTTTACACAATATTAACAAAAAAAAAAGTTATAAAAAATATGGGGAAAAAATGTTATAAGAAATAAAATTAACACATTGGAGAAAAAGGAAATTAACAGTTTATGTAGAATCAAGTGATCCTGTTTTACAAACAGGAACAAGTTTTTAATTTATATGACAAATCATAATTATTACCCTAAAATTGATAAATTATTAAGTCAAGTTTATATACTTCAAAATTTTTATATTAGAAAATGAAACTAAAAAAAAGTAGCAATTGAAAAATTAAACTTGATGACCAAAAAACTCGTTTTAGACATACTTCTCCAAAGTCCAAACTGACAAAAATTCTATTCTATATTATATTTTCCTGACTTTTTCCCAATTTTCATAAAAAATATTTACTTCTTTCTTATCCTGCTAATAAATTCAATTCCTGCAACGAATTTTATTATTCATGCGAAAGAATTTAAATATTTATCAAAAAAATTTAATTCTTGCAACGAATTTTATAAAAATTTTTAAATAATCAATTTCTTTTGACTAATTTTATGCAATTTCTAATTTAAATAATTGAATTCCTGACAAATTTTTATTATTCATGAAAAAAATTGAATTTTTACGAAAATTTTTGCAAAAATTTTTTAAATAATTGAATTATCTGTTTGGAAATTTAATGAAAATAGTAGATATTGAAAATCATTGAATTGCGAAATGTTTTTTTAAAATAATTCAATTTTACAAAGAATTTTATTAAAATTTTTGACAATAATTGAATGTCTGTGTGGTATTTTATTAAATTTTTTTAAAAATAATTGAATTCCTAAAAAGCAATTTAATATTTATAAAAATAATTGAATTCTTTCAAACGATTATATTAGAATTTTTTTAAATAATTGAATTTCCAAAAAATAATTGAATTTTTGGACATAATTTTGTTATTTTTCAAAATAATTGAATTCCTTCAAAGAATTATCCATGTAAATAATTTAAATCTTGAAAAGAATTTCAATAAAATCTAAAAGAATAATTAAAGCATTTCAAAAAATTTTTATTAAAATTGTATATAAAATAAATAAATAATTGATTTCTTTCGATCAATTTTACTAAAATATTTGAAAATAATTGAATTCCTGTGAAAAACTCTAATATTTTTGTAAATGAATTAAATCTTCCAAAGAATTTAAAAAAACATTTTTTTAAATAATTGATTTTTTCGAGGAATTGAAATTAAATTTTTAAGAATAATTACATTTTTTGAGTAATTCCTGTAAAATTTTATTAAAATGTTTAAAACGAATTGAATTTTTCTAAAAATTTTGTTATTTATGAAAATAATTGAATTATTGAAAAATTTTAATAAAATATTTACAAAGAATTTAATTTCTGTGAAAATTTTTTGCAATATTTGTAAATAATTGAATTCTTCCAGAGAATTAAAAAAAAATTTTAAATAATTGATTTTTTCGAGGAATTGAAATTAATTTTTTTCGAATAATTACATTTTTTGAGCAATTTCTGTAAAATTTTGTTAAAAAAAATTGAAATTCTGGGATGACTTTTATTATTTATGAAAATAATTGAATTGTTGTGATAAAATTTATTAAAATGTTTTAAAAGAATTGAATTTCTGTGAAATTTTCTTTTTTTTAAATAATTGAATTCTTGAGAAGAATTTTACAAAAATTGGTATTTATTAATTAATTTTTACGAAATATAATAAATATTAGAAATTGTTATTTTAAAATAATTGAATTCTTGTGGAAAACTTTATTTGTAAAAATAATTGAATTCTTCCAAAGAATTAAAAAAAATTTTTAAATAATTGATTTTTTCGAGAAATTGAAATTAATTTTTCTCGAATAATTACATTTTTTTGAGCAATTTCTGTAAAATTTTGTTAAAAAAAAATTGAAATTCTGCGATGACTTTTATTATTTATGAAAATAATTGAATTGTTGCGAAAAATTTTGTTAAAACGTTTGAAAAGAATTGAATTTATGTGAAATTTTTTTTTTTTTCTTTAAATAATTGAATTCTTCAGAAGAATTTTATAAAAATTGGTTTTTATTAATTAATTTTTTCAAAATATAATAAATATTAGAAAATTTTATTTTAAAGTAATTGAATTCTTGTGGAAAACTTTATTTGTAAAAATTATTGAATTTTTCGATTAATTAATTTAAAATAGTATTAAAAATAATTGAAATTCTTCGATGAGTTTTATTATTTATGAAAGTAATTGAATTATTGTGAAGAATTGTATAAAAATTTTATAATAATTGATTTTTTCGAATTTTTTTTAAAAGACTATTCTGAATTAATTGAATTACTGTAGAAATTTTATTATTTATGAAAATAATTGAATTTTGGATGAATTTTATCAATTTTATTTTTGAATAATTGAATTCTTTTGAAATTTTAATTGAATTTTTGCGGAAATTTTATTATTTATGAAAATAATTTAATTTCAGATGAATTTTATCTTTTTTTTTTTGAATAATTGAATTCTTTTGAAATTTTAATTGAATTCCTATGGAAATATTATTATTTATGAAAATAATTGAATTTTGAATGAATTTTATCAATTTTTGTTTGTTTGAATAATTGAATTATTTTGCGAAATTTTATGAAAATACTTTATATTGAAAATAATTGAATTTCGAATATTTTTTTTTTTAAATAATTGAATCGTTTCAAATAATTTGATTATAATTTTTGAAAATAGTTTTTTGCTTTCTACTATTAGTTAGAAAAATCTATTTTTTTGTTTATTTTTAAACTATGGACAAATATGTCAAAGCAGGGAAAAAAAATTTTCCGCATAGTTTGAAAATATAAAAAAAATAGTCTTTCTTTTTCTTACAGTTCAACATACTTTGCCCATGGTTCAAAAATTTAAAAATTGAAAGATTTTGTATGTACTCCAGTTGATTTGATGAAAAATTAATTTTTCTTGTGGACATTTTTTAGCCATATTTGCTCATTAGCAATTATTTAATTATTTAAAAAAAAACTAATAAAATTGATTAATTATAATACACATTGATTCAAATACACATAATAGTTTAATTAAATTCTATTCATCCTAAAATGACATGTGATCTCGTTTACCATATGAAAATCGATAATTACATTTCATCTAAAGAGACATTTATGAATTACACGTCAGTTTTACCGTTACTAGCAAATTCCATTATTATCAATAACTTTTGATATATATTTCAATTTATAATGTAATAGAAAATTTCGTTACTTATTTTTTAATCCCATCTATATATTAAACCGATTTATTTGGTAAAGTAAGAAAATAAAAATGTTAAAATATTTGATTTATTTTCGAGTAGGATGCTGATGTGCCTAGCAGGTAATCCAGATGAATTAATGAAAAAGAAAGCTTATTTGCTACCATTGGTGGAAAGACTAAGTACCGTTCAAAGCGCATTATCTGTGATGAACAATCGTGGAGAGGATGCTTTATACTTGATGGCAATAAATTGTCCACAAATGGCGTATGTTACGGGTTACTTGGCAGCTACAATGCTTCAAAAGGGAATTCACGTTGGACAGAAATTATATCAACCTGGAGTAAGCATATGATAATAATCCAAAATTAAATTTCCCCCTCATTTACATTTGTATAACATGTATGACATTTCGGCCCTTTACATTTTTTGACTAAACCCTAGTTTATAAAATTATTCTGAAAACCTTCTTTTTGAAATATGAATTTAAATTTGAAATCAAATTACACTGTAAAAAGAAAACTACTAATTTAGTACCAAAATTGGTACTAAATCGTAATTTGGTTCTATTTTAGTACCGAAATCTGCTCTAATTTAGAACCTTTTTCTTTATAGTGTAAAATTAAAAATTAACTATTTTTTAAAATATTAACAAAGTAATAAATACTTTGACGCAATTAATAATGTATCAATGTCTCCTAATCTTGCGACTTAAATTCTATGAATATTAAAAGTCAAGTTATCTTTTGAGAATAATGAAGTGTGATAAATATTCTCAGTTTACGATGAATGGACATAAGGACAATTCAATTTCTCAACGTACTGATTAAAACCTTTCTATAGTTAAAATTCCACTAATCTTTTGTTTACATTTTATCATTAATGATAAATGTACCATTTTTAAGTATTACTTTTATCTGATTGTTCAGGGTGAAACATTGATTCACGTTGTCGCGGCAAAAGGTGATTCGCATGAAGCTGTCCTCGCTGAACTTCTTTCGCTTAAAACAATTCGTGGAAATGCCGTTTTTAATGTCTTGGCTCGAAACTACGAAGGTAATAAATAAACTTTCGGATATTTTCAAAATTTTATATAATCTAGAGATAATATATATTATATTATCAAGAAACTAAATTTTCAGAATTTGGTTTTAACTTTTAATTTTCATTAAGTAAAAAAGTGTTATTAAATTTTAATGTATAATTTTACTATATAGGAAAAACGGCTCTTCACTTGGCAGTGGAGTCTCATGACCCTATAGGTAGAGGCGTAAATTCAATTTCAACGGTGCGATTGCTTTTGAAAAATGGAGCAGATCTTTTGATTAAAGAAGCAGTCCGAGGAGATACCGCCTTGCACTCTGCAGTATTTTCAAATTGCGATCCCATTCTAATTAAGGTGAGTTTAATTAGAATAAATTCAATATCTAGTTAAAGGGATTTTAAATCTTTTCTTTATTCTTAATTATTTTCTATTCTTCTCAATTAATTTTATTTTTCACTAATACTTGGAAAGATCTCCTAATAAATGTTACAGAAAGTCCATCTAAGTTCAATTCAATTTCCGATGACAATTACAGATTTCGCACTCGATAATTAATTTTAAAAAAGTAGGAAAAAGTATCTTTCAAACTAAAAGAAAGTAGTAAAAAAGTAGCTATCGAAAAATTAAACTTGACGAAAAAAAACTTGTTTTAGACACTTTACAAAAGTGACAAAAATTCCATTTTATATTCTATTTTCCTGACTTTTTTCCTAATTTTCATTAAAAATATTTACTTCTTTCTTATTCTGATAGTAAATTGAATTCCTGCAACGAATTTTATTGTTCTTCAAAGAATTTAAATATTTATAACAATAATTTAATTCTTGCGAAGAAATTTTATAAAAATTTTTAATAAACAGATTTCTTTCGACTAATTTTATGCTAATTCTGATTTAAATAATTGAATTCCTGAGAAATTTCTATTATTCATGAAAAGAATAGAATTCTTACGAAGATTTTTATAAAAATTTTTTTAAATAATTCTGTTTGAAAATTTTATGAAAATAGTAGATATTGAAAATTATTGAATTGCGAAAAGTTTTTAAAAATAATTAAATTTTACAAAGAATTCTATTCAACTTTTTGAGAATAATTGAATGTCTGTGTGGCATTTTATTAAATTTTCTTTAAAAATAATTGAATTCCCAAGAAAAAATGTAATACTTTTAAAAATAATTGAACTCTTGTGATGAATATTTTTTTTATGAAAATAATTGAATTTTGCAAAGAATTTTATTAAAATGCCTCAAAATAATTAAATTTTTGGAAATAATTTTGTTATTTATTAAAATAATTGAATTCTTTCGAAGAATTATTTATGTAAATAATTCAATTTGGGAGGAATTTTATTAAAATCTAAAAAAATAATAATTGAATTATTTCAAAAAACTTTAATTATAATTGTATATAAAATAATTGATTTCTTTCGATCAATTTTATTAAAATATTTGAAAATAATTGAATTCCTGCGAAAAATTCTAATATTTTTGTAAATAATTGAATTCTTCTGAAGAATTGAAAAAAATTTTTTTAAGTAATTAATTTATTCGAGGAATTGAAATTAAATTTTTAAGAATAATTACATTTTTTTAGTAATTTCTGTAAAATTGAATTTTTTTGAAAATAATTAAATTCCTAAAATGCATTTTATTATTTATGAAAATAATTTAATTCTTGCCAACGATTTTAATAGAATTTTATAAAATAATTGAACTTCCAAAAAGAAATATATTACTTTTAAAAATAATTTAATTCTTGTGATGAATATTGTTATTTATGAAAATAGTTAATTTTTGCAAAGAATTTTATTCGAAAATAATTGAAAATTCAAAATACTTGAATTTTCGGGAATAATTTTGTTATTTATCGACATAATTGAATGCTTTCGAATGATTATTTATATAAAAAATTGAATACTTGGGAAGAATTTTATTAAAATCTATAAGAATAATTCATTTATTTCAATAAAAATTTTATTAAAATTGCATTTAAAATAATTGATTTCTTTCGAACAATTTTATTAAAATATTTGAAAATAATTGAATTCCTGGGAAAAATTCTAATATTTTTGTAAATAATTGAATTCCTCAAAAGAATATTTAAAAAAAACAATTTTTTAAATAATTGATTTTTTCGAGGAATTGAAATTAAATTTTTAAAAATAATTAAATTTTTTTAACCAATTCCTGTAAAATTGTATTAAAAATATTTGAAATTCTGCAATGAATTTTATTATTTATGAAAATAATTGAATAGTTGCAAAGAAATTCATTAAAATTTTCAAAAATAATTGAATTTCTGAGAAGAATTTTATTATTTATGAAAATAATTGAATTATTGTGATAAAATTTATTAAAATGTTTTAAAAGAATTGAATTTCTGTGGAAAATTTTGTTATTTTTGAAAATAATTGAATTCTTTATAAGAATTTTATAAACATTATTTTAAATAATTAATTTTTTTGAAATATAATAAATATTATGAAAATTTTATTTTAAATAATTGAATTCTTGTGAAACATTTTATTTGTGAAAATAATTGAATTTTTCGATTAATTGATTTAAAATAGTATTAAAAATAATTGAAATTTTTTGATGAGTTTTATTATTTATGAAAATAATTGAATTCTTGCTTAGAATTTTATCAAAAAGTTTTTTAAAAAAATTGAATTTCCATGAAAAATGTTATTATTAGTAAAAGTAATTGAATTATTGTTAAGAATTGTATAAAAATTTTGTTAAATAATTGAATTTTTCGAATTTTTTTTAAATACTATTCTAAATTAACTGGATTCCTGTAGAAATTTTATTATTTATAAAAATAATTGAATTTTTGATGAAGTTTATCAATTTTTTTTTGTAAATAATTGAATTTTGGATAATTTTATCAATTTTTCTTTAAATAATTGAATTCTTTTGCGAAATTTTAAGAAAATATTAGATATTGAAAATAATTGAATTTTGATTTTTTTTGAAAATAATTGAATCGTTTTAAAGAATTTAAAGAATCGTTTGTTTAGATTTTTGAGAATGATTTTTTGATTTTTAGTATTAGCGAATTTAAAGTAGTGGGAATTCTCAAAAAGAAACAGAAATAATAGCTCTTTTAGTGGCTAAAATTTAAAAAAAGTATCAAAATAGTAGCATCACGTAAAAAAAGTAGTAAATAGTAGGTTTTAGTAGATGAATGCGAAACCTGTAATTATTATAAAAATTATAATAGAATCTCCAGTATATTTTTCCAATTGTAATTTTAATTGTTTGACTTATAACATCTGTTAATATTTTTTTTTTCAAATTTCTGTTTATTAGGCACTGTTGGAAAGAAATAGCCATAAAGACAATTTATATATGGGAAACTACAGTGAAAATTCATCAATGCTCATGTCGTCAATGTGCAATGGAGTTAAATTGGAGAGAAATATAGAAGTCTGTAAACTCTTTTTGGAAAATGGTCCAAAACCAACAATTTCAAATGGACACGCTCCTATGGAATATTTACCCCCCGATAGAAAAAATTCTATTAAACCTGTATTCCACTGTCGAAGTAAAATACACTAGAAATGTCAAGATCTCAAGGAAAACAAAACAAAAATTTTCTTAATTAAGGTTGTGAATGTTTGTTTTTTTATACGCATATAGTATATATATGTATACTGCACTTGGCTCGAATAATATTTCTACTTCTATTTAAACTATTTTTTTAATGATCAAACGACGGCCGCTAGTATATGATATGTATGATGTTCATTAATTTAAAAAAAAAGGTTTTTCATTCTACATTGTTTTTCTGCTTTTATAAAATAAGTTTTTCAATTGTACAAAGCATTCAAAGTAAAGAACTTTTTAAAATTAATTTTAATGGATTTTGTTAACTTTAATTAATATTAATAGTTATATAATTGATAATTGATTACCATTACTTTATTCACTTATTAATTAGTAATAATTCTTCTAATAATTAATAATTTAATTGTTAATTTGGAAAAGATTGATTTTGGTAATTAATTATGTGTATCACTCATTTTGTAAATTAATTTTTTTGAAATTTCTTTTCGTCGCCTAAAATTACTGACATCTTTGTACATATAAATAATTTTTTTAAAAGTATTTTAAAACTTTATTATTATTTAATTTATCATTTATAATAGAGTAAGTTTATTATTAATAAACCACCAAATGTTGTTTTCTAAATAACTCAAAATTATAATACGATTTTCTGCAATATTATTCGTAATTTTTTTGCAACAAATAACTTTAAATTATTCCTTTAAAAACAGTAAAGTTGACATTTTTTTTATCTTACATTTGACATGTTTATTTCAAACCAAAAAATTGTTCATGGAACGAAAATTTATTTTTCGCCTCAATTAAAAATTTCATTTAAAGTATTTATAATTTAAAAAAATTAAATTTAATCAATTTTCAGGAAATATTTGAAAACTAAAAGAAGGAATTAAGAAATATTCAAATTAAGTGTTAATTAGATTATATAGTTTATATAAATGAATTTAATTAAACACAAGAATGGAACAATAATAAATTATGCGTATAACTTATAAACTTCTTTTCAAATATGAAAGAATTAAAAAAAAATTTAATATATTTAATTTTTAAAAATAATTTTATAAAATAATTAAGGATCCGGATCAAGTAAATCGACCGAACGTCGATTGAGTTATTTCATTCGGATCCTCAATTGAAACAAGTCGTACATATAGAAAATCCTTGAATATATGGCTTTAAAGTACAAGTCAATTGATAAGCAAACAAAAATATGATTTTGTGATTTTTACATATTTTATGAAACTGCGTTTTAAATATTCTGTATTATAATTTTAGTTATTCATGGACTTTTTTTTTAAACTATAAATATAATTATTTCTTTTTCACATGAATTTAACATTAGTTGAACTGTTAAGGCGACTATAGAATCACATTCGTGCATAATAATATCATATTACAAATGTTAAATTGTAATAGCGCCAATCATTTTCTGTTCTATTTTCATTAATAAATCATGTTTCGAAACACAATGTACAGAATAACAATATACTGTAAACACATCACAATGTATATACGAAAATAAAATGTCTTTTTACAAAAACTTTATAATTAAAAAAAATCTCAAAAATTACCAGATTCAATTTGGTGTAAATAAGTTCAATTTTAATAAAATTGCTTCATTATTTTTAAGCTCTTCAAAAATACTTTAAACCCTTCTTAAACTTCACCCTTTGGTAAAAAAAAAACTACTCTGACCACTAGGACCAAAAATCGAAAATTCTTAAAATTCAACATTTGTCTTTAATTTTAAGGCAAATTGCTTTAATATTTTTGGGCTCTTTAAAAATATTTTACTCGTCATTTAAACTTCACCCTTTGGTCAAAAAAACTACTCTGGGCACTAGCACAAAAAATCGAAAATTCTTAAGATTCAACATTTTCTTTTTATTTTATGGAAAATTGCTTCGTTTATTTTAAGCTCTTTAAAAATATTTGACTCGTCTTTTACTTCACCCTTTGGTCAAATTGAACTTTGGGGAAGAATTTTGTTATTTATAAAGATAATTAGGATTTTGACGATATTTACAGGGTTGCCACAGGTCAGGGAATTCAGGGAAAAGTCAGGTAAAGTAAAATTGGTCAGAGAAGTCAGGGAAAAGTCAGGGATTTTTAGTAAAAGTACTGGAAAAAATTGAATTTTAAAAATTCATGAAAAAACTCTGAATTTTAATGTTTTTTTTTATTGCCTCGTAAACTATGAAATTAGCGCGAATTTTAATACAAAACCTTAAATTTTTTCTATTTCAGACAATAATTTCTTTTTAAATAACTTAATTTTACAAGAACCATCATAAAATTATGACTTAGAAATTATTTAATGAATAATTTTTACAATTTTCATAAATACTAGATTGATAAAACAATTTTAGTTAAAAATACTAAAAAAAAAAAATGAATTTTGGAAAAGTTACAAATAATTCCAGAAATTCAATTATTTTCAAAAGTAATAAAATTTTTCGCAGAAGTTCAATTATATTCAAAAATTTAAAAAAAAATTCTGGTCATTTCAATTATATCTTTAAAAATAATAAAATTCTTCTCCAAAATTCAATTATGTTCAAAAATTAAAAAAAAATTCTTGTCCAAATTTCAATTATCTTTATAAATAATAAAATTCTTTAATATTCAATTATTTAAAAAATTTTTTTTTAAATTCTCGTCAAAATTTCAATTATTGTTATAAATAATAAAATTCTTTTTCAAAATTCAATTATTTTAAAAACTTGAATAAAATTTTTGTCAAAATTCCACAGGAATTCAATTATTCAATATTTAATAAATTTCTTTGAAATAATTCAATTATTTTCATAAATAATAAAATTTTCACATGAGTTCAATTATTTAATATACAAAATTTCATAAAATTTTTCGAAAAATATCAATTATTTAAAAAGATTTTTATAAAGTTAAATTAAATTTATACAAAAATTTTATTAAAAGTCATGAAAATAATTGAATGTTGCAATGAATTTTAATAAAATTCCTGAAAATTGAATTTAGACAAAAATTTGATTAAAATTTCTGAAAATAATTAAATTTTGGACAGAGTTTTATTAAAATTCATGAAAATAATTGAATTTTTCAATAAATTTTTTTAACAATTTTTTTAACATTCATTCCTGAAAATTAAATTTAGACAAAAATTTTATTAAAATTCATAAAAATTGAATTTAGACAAAAATTATGTTAAAATTCCTGAAAATAATTGAATTTTGCAATAAATTTTTTAAAAATTCCTGAAAATTGGATTTAGACAAAAATTTTATTAAAATTCATGAAAATAATTGAATTTTGCTTCAAATTTTCATGAAATTCCTAAAAATTGAATTTAGACAAAAATTTTATGAAAATTTCTGAAAATAATTGAATTCAATTATTTTTAAAAATAGTAAAATTCTTCACCGAAATTCAATTATTTTTATAAACTTGAATAAAATTCGTTGGAAGAATTAAATTATTTTCAAAAGTAATAGAATTCTTCGCAGAAATTCAATTATGTTCAAAAATTAAAAAAAAATTCTTGTCCAAATTTCAATTATCTAATAAATAATAAAATTCTTTAATATTCAATTATTGAAAAATTTTTTTTTTAAATTCTCGTCAAAATTTCAATTATTGTTATAAATAATAAAATTCTTTTTCAAAATTCAATTATTTTTAAAAACTTGAATAAAATTCTTGTTAAAATTTCACAGGAATTTAATAATTTATAAAATTTTTAATAAATTTCTTTGAAATAATTCAATTATTTTCATAAATAATAAAATTTTCACATGAATTCAATTATTTAATATACAAAATTTCATAAAATTTTTCGAAAAATATCAATTATTTAAAAAGATTTTTATAAAATTCGTCGCATGAATTCAATTATTTAAAATATTTTAACAAAGTTCTGTTCAAGAATTCAATTATTTTTAGAAATATAATAAAATTCTTCACCGAAATTCAATTATTTTAGAAAAATTTTAATAACATTTTTGAGAAAATTTTTAATTATTTTCATAAATAATAAAACTCATTGCAGGATTTATTTTTCAATTTAAATAATTGAATTCTTCTAGAATTTTCTAATAAAAATTGATTAAAAAATGAATTAACGAATAATCGATTTATTATTTATGAATATAATTAAATTATTGCAACGAATTTTATTACAATTTTTTAAAATAATTGAATTCTTGCGAAGGATTTTATTAGGATTTTTGTAAATAATACAATTTTTTTTTGAATAATTTCATGGTAATTTAAATTATAACAAAACATGAAGAAGGCGATCACTCCGAGTCGAAGACTCGGAGTGACCGTCTTCTTTATGTTTTGTAATAATATTCTTATAAATTGTTGAATTTCAAAAAGGTTTGAATTTGAATTTATTGAAGAATTTTAATTCCTACAAAAAAATAATAATGATTAAATATTTATTTAAAAAAGAAATTATTGATGTTTCTGAATAATTTTACAATTAATTAAATTTGTAAATAAATGTAATAGAACATTTTTTTTGAATTTCTAATAATTTTTAGAGTGAATCAGAATATTTTTTAGGGTCAGGGCAAAAGTGAAAATCAGTCAGGAAAAAGTCTGGAAATCAGGGAAAAGTCAGGGAAAAATGAAATTAAATATTTGCGGAAACTCTGATTTAAAAAAAATTTAATTGAATTTTATAAGAAGAATTTTATCGCTTTTGAAAATAATTGAATTTCTGCAATTATTTATGTAATTTTTCCAAATTTGTATTTGTTTAGTGATTTCATCAAAAATTTGAATTACAAATTTTTAAATTCTATTATTTTTAAAATTGCTAATTTCATCCTAAAAAGTTAGTCGCGCGCTTTAGCGTCCGAATTGTTGCTACGATTAATTAAAGCATGTTTGAAATATTTATTCAATTATCATATTTTTTTACTAGTTGTAATTTTGTAGTAATTAAAAAAAAGTGTCTTCTATTTAATTCATGAAATAAATCTTCTTTACAAGCAATTTAATTATTGATCAGAGTGTTGACTAAGAGTCGAAATTTGACTGTAATAAAAAGATCACTCGACACGTCACTCTCCATAAAATGTGGGGCTTGAAAGGACTGTCCATCACAATTTGAAGTACAACCAATTTGCTAGACATCGAAACATTTATCCTTTATCAACAAACAGTTAACAATATCCTCTCTCTCGAGAAGAATCACTTCAGTGCTTTTGATAGAAAATCAACAAAGAGATAAATAAAAGTTTCCATTTAATTCGATTTATCTTAAAATTGAATTTGTTGCGGAAAAGTGAATAACCGTATACGAAACGACTGAAAGTTCAAAAAAAGAAGAAACTTTTCTATAAAAGAAGGAGGAAAATTGTTTTTCATTGAACAATGTAGTACAAAACTCATTTCTGCAGCTGGCGAAATGATCAGAGTGTCAAAGTTTTGTGTAAACTCGTTAAGGGAACTTTCTTCAAGAACCTAAGCAAATAAACTAACAAACTTTAATAAAGTCTTCCAGTTTTAGTTTACGTTAAAACAGGTTGATTTCATCCAGTGTTTGAGACAGTATCAAAAATTCGATACTTCTTTATTTTAAAAAGTTAATTTTAATTTTTAAATAAAGAAAATTAAGTATTCAAGTAGTCAAGAGTTTCAGGAATAATTTTTTAATAATTAATTAACATAAAAGTTTCCTAAATTTTAACTGAATAAATCACTTTATTGTGTGCTTTATAGTTCAATAAATTTCGACGAGGAAGAGGAAATAAGTTTTCATTTCTTTAAACGGCAAATGAGGAAACTATGTTAATGAATATTTGTCAAATAGAGGATTACGAATTGTAAAAGATTAAAATAAGGAAAAGAAGAATGTCTAGGAACCTAGTTCTTCTATTTTCATGGATCTTATCCTTATCATCGACCGAATTTATTAGCGACCAATGTAAAGTTTATAATGAAACTAGAATTACGTGCACGTGTCTAGAAAACGAAGTAGGTAACTTGTTAAAATTTTTTCTAATTTGATTTTTCTCTTCTCTCCTCAACAATGAATCACAATTTTATTTTGTCAAAATTAAGGCCCCTTTTAATTTTTCAAATCACTTGTCATATTTTTTCAACTCTAAATTAATAAATTAATTAATTAAATAAATTAATAAATCATATCACTATAAAATTATGATTTCAGAAACTTCAGTTACCTGATAATTATAATTATGAAAATGTAACCAGTCTTTTCATCTCAGCTTGTGGATCCGCAACTCTTCATTCTACGAGTCTTATGCAGGCGAAAAGACTTCAAAATTTAGTGATACATAACATCACTGATAGTTTAATTTTTGAATCACTTTTAACAACAAAAAACCTTGAGAGCTTAGAATTAATCCACATTCGAAGAATACCATCACTAACTCACAACATTTTCAAAAATATTCGTCACATTAATCTTATCCAAATTCAAGAAACTTTAATCGAAAATTTCGAGGAACAATTCACAGACATTGTTGTCACGAATTTCATAATGAAAAGTGTAATAATCCAAAGAATGAATGGATTAAATTTTTCAGGAAGAGGAAAAACTTTAGAAATAAAAAACACTGATTTTCGATGTATCACAAATCACTTGAATTTCGCCTATTTTTCGAAAGTGGAAATATTTCGTTCAACATTTAAATTACAAGTACCTGGTCTTCTATTATTAGAAGGGTGTACTGTATTTGTGGAAAATAGCATTTTTACTAATGTAACTATGAACTTAGTGGCCTCTGAAAAAATTAGAATGAACGCCACTTGTGGAGATGGAAAAAGTTCCTTGAGACTATTCGCCAGTAGAATAGAAAGCTCTGGGAATAAATTGCCTACTGAAATTATTTACACGAAGAGTAAGAGAAATAATGACTCGGAACTTTTTTTGGTGAAAAATAATACCGTCTGCATTGCTGGGAATTGCAAATGTCTAATGACAAATGGTCACAAGTCGATTCATGAATTAAAAAACTTTTTCTTTTTCACGATAATTATAATAAGTATCGTCACATATGATACTTATTTAAGTATCATTTAAGAAATAACAAACTCGAAATTTCAACAAACTTATGCGCTAAAAATTTACATCACTCAAATAAATTTTCTGATTATCCTTTGCTTAATATTATACATTTTCCGAAATTTATAGAAATATAATTTCAAAAGTTGTATTTACTAAGAATCGTAATTTTGATGTTTTAAATTGTCGAGTGGTGATTTAGAAATAGCTGTCATAAATATGTTTTATTAGATCACATATCCTTTTAGGATTAAGGCCATTAATCAAGGATAACAATAACTCGTCGTTGTATAATTTCTCTTAGATACACTCAAGTCTTGTGAATTTTCAACATTCATGAAAATAATTTAATTTTGCAACGAATTTTAATAAAATTCCTAAAAAATGATTTTAGACAAAAATTTTATTAAAATTCCTGAAAATAATTGAATTTTGCAATAAATTTTTTAAAAATTCCTGAAAATTGGATTTAAACAAAAATTTTATTACAATTCATGAAATTAATTGAATTTTGCAACGAATTTTAATAAAATTCCTGAAAATTGAATTTAGACAAAAATTTTATTAAAATTCCTGAAAATAATTGAATTTTGCAATAAATTTTTTAAAAATTCCTGAAAATTGGATTTAAACAAAAATTTTATTACAATTCATGAAATTAATTGAATTTTGCAACGAATTTTAATAAAATTCCTGAAAATTGAATTTAAACAAAAACAATTGAATTTTGCAAAGAGTTTTTATTAAAATTCATAAAAATAATTTAATTTTTCAATAAATTTTGTTAAAAGTTCCTCAAAATTAAATTTAGACAAAAATTTGATTAAAATTTCTGAAAATAATTGAATTTTGTAACGAATTTTAATAAAATTCCTAAAAATTGAATTTAGACAAAGAGTTTTATTAAAATTCATGAAAATAATTGAATTTTTCAATAAATTTTTTAAAAATTCCTGAAAATTAAATTTATACAAAAATTTTATTAAAATTCATGAAAATAATTGAATTTTACAACGAATTTTAATACAATTCCTGAAAATTGAATTTAGACAAAAATTTTATGAAAATTTCTGCAAATAATTGAATTTTGCAAAGAGTTTTATTAAAATTCATGAAAATAATTGAATATTTCAATAAATTTTTTTAAAATTCCTGAAAATTAAATTTATACAAAAATTTTATTAAAATTCATGAAAATAATTGAATGTTGCAATGAATTTTAATAAAATTCCTGAAAATTGAATTTAGACAAAAATTTTATTAAAATTTCTGAAAATAATTGAATTTTGCACAGAGTTTTATTAAAATTCATGAAAATAATTGAATTTTTCAATAAATTTTTTTAACATTCATTCCTGAAAATTAAATTTAGACAAAAATTTTATTAAAATTCATAAAAATTGAATTTAGACAAAAATTATGTTAAAATTCCTGAAAATAATTGAATTTTGCAATAAATTTTTTAAAAATTCCTGAAAATTGGATTTAGACAAAAATTTTATTAAAATCTATGAAAATAATTGAATTTTTTTTTCAAATTTTCATGAAATTCCTAAAAATTGAATTTAGACAAAAATTTTATTAAAATTTCTGAAAATAATTGAATTTTGCAAAGAGTTTAATTTATTAAAATTATAGGTAGATGAATTAGAATTTTAATAAAATTGCAGAAAAAAATTGAATTTTACAAAGAGTTTTATTGAAATTCAAGAAAATAATTGAATTTTACAACGAATTTTAATACAATTCCTGAAAATGGAATTTAGACAAAAATGTTATGAAAATTCATGAAAATAATTGAATTTTGCAACGATTTTTAATCAAATTCCCTAAAATAATTTAATTTTGCAAAAAAATTTTTTAAGCTAATAAATAATTGAGTTTTTAAAAAATATATAAAAAATAATCAAATTTTTGATGAATTTTAATTATAAATAATTTCTCAAAAATTCTAAAATAGTAAATTTTAAAAAATTTTTAAATTTCTTTGTCAGAGAATTATTTTTTTCAAAACTATTTTAATATTTTCATTTTTTATTGAATTTACCCTTGTAGATTATTCATTAAAATTTTTAAAAATTCAATTATTTCCAAAATTTTCAAGAAAAATTCTATAATAGTTCATTTTCAAAAATTATAATAAAATACTTGAAAAAAAGGATTTATTTTCAATTAATTTTACTAAATTTCAATTATTCAAAATCTTTTTAATTGTATATTTCAAAAATTTAATTAGAAAAAATTTTCAAAAATAATTTTCGAAAGATTTACATATCTACAGCTATTTTTTATACTGCGCGTGAAAATAAAAAAAAATTTGCAACATTTTATACTAAAAATATGGTATTTTGTCGCAAAATTTGGAAGAAAAGTTGAAAAAGTCGCAATTTTTTAATATAAGTCGATAAAAATCGCATTATTTGAAAGTAGTCGAAAAAAGTCGAAAAAATCATAATATCTGAGGCCTGATATTAGAGTGAATACATTTGAATCACTTAAAGTGGAATAAATTTGTGATCTATCTAATTCCTTGTAAATCAAATGCTTATTGGTGGACAACAACATTTGTAAAGTTGACATTGTTTAAAAATATAGTTGTAACTAGAGTGAATTTCTCTAATTGTGTTTTTACTCTTATATTCCCTTTCTAATAATTAACAAAGCAATTAAATTAAATTAAAATAAATGTGTGGAATTAACAATAATTCTGGATTTTAATTGAATTTACAAAATAACGACTTACCGGTATTTTTCCTTAGCATCATCTTCCTGACGGACCTTCGAACTTTTAGCCTGAAGAATCTGATGGGCCTGTAGATCCAAAGCATCTTTTAGATAAGCGATTTCTTGCAGCATCAGCAAATTATTTTTCTCTAAGTGGCAAATTGTTTCTTGATGTATTGACATCTGCTTTTCATGCTCCGCTTGCAGATTTTGTAAAGCTTTATCTCGTGGCACGTAAGTTCCTAGATGAAAATGAAAATTTCGTTTTTTAACTCTGGACAGAAGAATATAAACTTTAAATTTTTTTAATGATAATTCATTCGCAATAATTAGATGCTCATGAAATTAAAATTCTTTTACAAAATATTATAGCAGATTAAAAGTAAAAATTGAATAGAATCAAGTTCTGAAAATTCACCAATAGTTTTTTGTAGTTGCTCTTTAAGTTTATTTCCGGTTAGTTGAATTCTTCTTAATTCGTGCGCATGTTGACTGTCCTTCGATTGTAACTGTTTCTTCAGTTTAAGAACCTGAAAATAAAAAAAAATGTAATTGTACTGTATAGGTATTATAAAAAATATTAATTTGTAAATAAAATCAAATTAATAAAATTAACAAACCTCATCTCGTTCACGCTTAAGATCACGAGAAAAATTTTCACATTTAACTTTCAGTCTTCTCTCTCGTTCCTGAACTTCACTCATAGAATAATCTTTCTTCTCAATATCCTCCTTCAATCGTTTAATTTGATTCTGCAAGAAAATAAATTACTTAAACATTAAAAATATAAATGTGCTTCATTACTCTGTTGGATTGTAATATTGTTTTGTAAATTACCACTGAAATTCCTATGGCAGCAGTAAACAATATGAGTTATAATTTTCTTTGCTTCGCAAATGGATTTTTATTACTTACCCCTAAATTATTATTGTCAACTGATACTTTGTGGTAAACATCGTTTTGTTTTTCATGAATCCTTTCAATCATTCTGTGTTGTTGAACCAGATTCCAAGAAGCATTAATTAATTGAACAAGTGTGGATGTTAAAGTTTCTAGGGAATTTAGTCCTTCGTAGTTTATAATTGACACAGGTGCCTGAACTAGGACATCTAATTCCTGTAAATTAAATGTTTTCCGATTATTATCTTTCCGTTCAAAGTTCTTTTTTTTACAAAAAATGTAATATACTAATAGAAACTGGACAATTTATTTTTTATTATTTATCAATGTTTATTTTTAACTCTTTGCGGCATACATTATATTACAACAATAATTTTTAAAAAATGCTTATAGAAGTTTCTGGGGTCGCTGATTACGAATCCGAAGTCTTTTTCCAAAACTCAAAATGTCGGATCCAATATGGCGGACGAATTTTTAAGAATTAACCGAAATCGCTTGAAAGTCATTACTCGAGGGGTTTTCGAAGTCGCTGATTACGAATCTGAAGTCTTTTTTTCCAAAATAACAGAAATATAACCACTCCGAGTAAAATAAGAGAAAATTTTATTATTTATGAAAAATAATTTAATTTTTGCGATGAATTTTACTATTTGTAAAAACAATTGAATTGTTTCAAAGGATTTATTAAAATTATAGAAAATAATTGAATTCTTTCGGAAAATATGATTTTTTTTTTAAAATTGAATTTTTTTATGAAATGCTATTAAAGTTGTATTAAAAATAATTTAATTTTTGCAAAGAATTTTAATACTTTTGAAAATAATTAAATTTTTGCAATTATTGTTCTAAAGAATAAAACATAAATACAAACCTCCGCTAAAGTTGTTAATGATTCTGGAATATTATCTAAAGTACAAAATGCATTTTCAGCATTTTCGCTAATTCTTTGTACTGCGAATATATTACGCAAGTTTCGAATTTGATAATCAATTGTAGAATTACCAGCCATTTCTGTAATTAAACATTATTTCTTGAAATTTATGTCATAAAATTTATTTATTTAAAAAATATTGTATTTGTAAATATACAAAATATAAAAATAAAAAATATAAAAATTTTTATAAAAATAAAACATAAATATTTGCTACTATTAAAAATAATTAATTCATCAGTTTGCATATATAAAAGTATAAGATATGCCATAAAAATATTATTATATTTTTAATAAGTGTACTTTATTTTCATTAAATTTTTAATACCAGTTTTTTCTTTAATAATTCATAATATTTTCATCGCATATTTTATTTATCAGAAAAATTCTAATTTATTATTTAACAATTACAGCATGCATAGGTGTATACACATTGTATGTATATAACTCTTCTCTAATTGGTCAAGATCAGCTGATTTTAAAGTTTTATCAATATTCCCGCCATATAGATATTTATAATAAAATGAAAAAAAAAATATTTTTTTATCATAAAACAAACTTTTTGAATATTATTTTAAACATAAAAATTTACATTCACTTAATTAAAAATATTCCCCTTCGTTTTTATTTTTATCTGCATTCACTTTTAGTTCCATTTTATCAGAATTTTAGTTCACATCTTCAAAACTATAAATAAAATAGCTATTTTGTACGCGATATTTATTATAGTTTACTTATAATTTTCATTAGTACAAATTATTTCTTTCTTTTAAAACTTATTTTTTGTTACCCCTTTTTATACAATTTTTGATAGTACTTTATTATATTGAAGTTAAACAATAGAATTGTATTCACAACAATAAACAAATTTTGAGGTATAAATACGAAATTAACCTTACTTTTATGTATGTGTATAATATTTAGATTATATTTACCTTAAAATGATGTTTCTTTCAATATAGATAATTATTAACTGCACACAATTTCACTAATTACGGGTTTAATATTGGTGTTTTAAATACTATTGTTATTAATAAAAAAAATAATTTAAAAAATAAGAAAAAATTTCACCAACTGTATTATGTCCGCATGAAAATAGAATCATGCTTGTCTGATTCGGTTGCTCCAACAGGAATCTTGCATGGATATTCATTGGGGTCAACATGAAGTAGAGAGTTCAGTGTTTCATTGTCAGATGTCACTTATATGTTAATTCATGTCCTTCTAAAATCTTTACAAAAAAAAAATTGATTTCCTTTACTTTTCATGTCATGTTCTTAAAAAATTTTGCAAAACTTATTATATTATATAAAATGATGAAATCTGTCACTTTAATTATAAAAATAAATATTTTTCATTCATCGAAAGTGATTTTTATCACAAAAAAAAATTATTGTTCTATTCTTCTATTTTTTTATGTGATAAAAATCACTTTCGTTGCTCATATTGCCTTCGATGATTTCGATAATTGATATTGAACTTAATTTAAAAATATTCGCTTTGAATTTTGCACTAAAATCTTAATATTAAAATTATTTTTAAAATTAAATTAAAAATTTTTCAAAACTTTGATTATTTTTTTAATATTTATCAAAGATTTTAAAAAATTTAATTATTTGGAGATTTTTCAATTGTACATTACTTCTCAAAATTTAATTCTTATAAAGAATTTTAGTAACAAATAAAATAATTGAATTTTTTTGTCGAATTTTATTAAAACTTGCATAAACATAATTACATTTTTCAAGGAATTCAATTATAATTGTATATGAAAAATAATTGAAACGCTGCGATGAGTTTTATGAGAATTTTTAAATTCATTCGTTTACAATTCAATTTTACAGAATTTCAATTATTCGGAAATTCTGCAATTAAATGTATATTGAAAAATAAAAACTTGAAATAATTTCAATAAAAATCCTATTAAACTTTTAAAAAGAATTAATTCTGAAGAATTTTTTTGTCAAAAATATGAAAAATTACGAATTTTAATGATTTTAGTTTGAAACTTTTTCAAAATTTAATTATTTCTAAAAATCCACGTTATAATGCTTTTAATATTTAATTATAATCTAAAACTTTAACTGAAATTCATTTTTAAAACCATTTTTATTAGTAAATTCAACCAGAATTTAATTATTTAAATACAAAAATAAAGAATTTATTAATTTCATGTTTCTTGAAATTAAATTCTCATAAAAAATGTTATCAATAAATTTGCTAAATCGTTAAAATCTTTAGACGAATTTTAATAAAATTTTTAAGAATAATTACATTTTTAGAGAATTCGATTAAAATTGCATTAAAAATATTTGAATTAACATTATTTTTATCATAATTTTTTAAATAATTGAATTCATTCGGCAAATTTTAATAAAATTTTAAATAATAATTAAATTTTTCGAGGATTTCAATTAAAATTATATTAAAAATAATTGAAATTCTACTTTGAGTTTTATTATTTATGAAAATAATTGAATTATTTCGAAGAATATTTTAAAAAATGTTTCAAACAAACCCTTGACTTATTTTCAAAAAAATTCATGCAAATTCTATTTTTAATAATTAAATTCCTGTGGAATTTTCATTATTTTAGAAAATAATTGAATATTCTAGTAGAATTTTGTCAAAATTGTTTTTAAATAATTGAACTGTTTTGGAAAATTTTGTAAAAATAATAGATATACCCACAAATTATTAAATTAAGAAAAATTGTGGAAAATAATTGAAATTTTGCTAGGAATTTTATTAGAATTTTTGAAATAATTGAATTTTATTACGTTTGTAAAGATTTAAATTTTTGTGATGAACAATATTTTTTATGAAAATAATTGAATTTTGCAATGAATTTTATTGAAATTCTTAAAAATAATTGAAATTTTACCATGAATTTTATTTAATTTATAAAGAATTAAATTCTTGTGATGAATTATATTATTTATAAAAGTAATTGAATTTTGCAATGAATTTCATTAAAAGTCCTGAAAATAATTGAATTTTGTTATTTTATTTATAAAGATAATTGAAATGTTGACCAAAATTTTTTTTCGATTTTTTTTGAAAATAATTGAATTACTGCGAAAAATTTATTTAATGCCAAATTTTAAAACATTTGATTTTTTGGAAAAAAATTTTGTACATTCTTTTTTAAATAATTGAATTTCTGTGAAATTTTCATTTTTTTTTTGTTGGAAAATAATTTAATGTTTGTGTCGAATTTTATCAAAATTTCGAGGAATTCAATGAAAATTGCATTAAAAATAATTGAAATTCTGCAATGTGTTTTATTATTTATGAAAATAATTGAATTCCTAAAAGAATTTTATTATTTATAAAAATAATTGAATCCCTGTAAAAATGTTATTATTTATGAAAATAATTGAATTATTGCGAAGAAATTTATAAAAAAAATTTGTAAATAATAGAATGCCTGTAAAAATTTTTATTATTTATCAAAATAATTGAATGTTTGCGTAGAATTTTATTCGAATTTTTTTTTAATAATGGAATTCTTTTGGAAAATTTTATTGAAAATCATTGAATATTAGAAAACTTTTGAAAATAATTGCAATTTTGACAAGAATTTCATTAAAAAGTGAGAAATTTTTTAATAGAAGCGAAAATTTTTTAAGTTAAAAGAAATCTAAAATTAAGAAAATAAGAACTAAAAATTGTGTTACGGAAAAAATGGAAGATTATAAAAGTTTACAGGCAATAATAAAAGTTAAGATAAAAAAAGATGTACATATTTTCTGAAGTAATTGCACTTTTAACATTCCACTGTTTCGCCATAAACCACAAAATCTCCTAATAAAAAAGGCGTCAACCTTTTTGGTGACTACATTTGTGAAATATATAAAGTGTATATAAGAAATACGAAAAAGAAGTAGATAAATTAAAAAAAGCTTTCTTTATATATATATAAATAGAAATTGATAAACATTTTTTTTTGTCGCATAGATCGTTCTTTGATTTTCATTGTGATAAATAAAACTTCTGTCAGTGTACATCAGTCACGGTTAAGACATTTTAATATACTCATCCTTTGAGGTTTCGCTACTCCACAGCATATTCGTTTCTTACATTAGTTACATTAGTACACCCACGAGGAAATTAATTTTATCTCTTTTCTCCTCATTTCCCTTTCTCTTCTGCTACCTTCGCTAAGTGCTCATATTTTTTCATTTAAATGCTTTCATTCTACTTATAATACAACATTTAAATTTGGTTCAAAATTTTAAGTTCTCAAATAGCATATATAAATATTATTTAGTTAAACTGTACACTATTCGTAGTTTATGGATTATTAGTAGATGTAAGTGACAATTTTTTTTTCTTAATGTTTCAACTATGGATCTTACCCTCTTGCAAGTTGCAGCCCCAAAGTCAAATAACTACGACTAAATGATAAAAAATTTGTCTGAAAGATTAAAAATACCCTAGCCTAATTCGATCAGTTTAAAAAAATTTGCCGCAATAACGTTATCCAAATAAGAATTTAAATTGTCCATATAGATTATGATATTAGAAAAGTCGATCTTAATTCTTTGATGTTTATTTGTTCATGTCACTTGTAAGTGAAAATCAGAAGAGCAAAGACAGAAATTTATGAGAATTAAAAGACGTTTAAGAAGAGGAGAAATGTTGTCCCTTGAAAGCAACTAATCCACAGTACGTGATCTTAAAGATCTCTTTGGATTAGATGGATAAATATACCGAGTAAAAGGACCCCACATGAGACGCTTATGCTTTAAAACTTGAAACAAATTAAGCCCATCGTATCTCAAATGATATAAAGCTAAAAACTGAAAATTATAAAAAACATAAAAAAATAGTAAAATTAAATGTTTATTCCCATCCTTGTTAATCTCTGCTACCTGTATTTTTTTTACTAATTTTTTTTTCACTATTTATTTAGTTTGTTTTTTACAACCTCATAAAATAAAATATCTGACAGGTTGAAGAATTTATTAAAAAAAATGTTCAATGTAATATTTGTACAACTTTTTTTTGAAACTGCCACGCATGTGTTTTATACTGCAGCTCTGTAATAATTTAAAATCCTTCTCATTTATACATTTTTTAAAAAAGAATAATAATTTGCGCTCTTTCATAACTTTTTTTTTTGATAAGCGTAAATTCAAACAGTGTATAGGATTTCTCAATGTACTTCATATAGGGGCTCCCCTATGTGGGTCGTAACATTTACATATAAATTATATGCATCTGCTGGCTTGCAAAAATATACATGTATTCCACGATTATATAGAGAAAGCTTTACTTTGTAAACTTGCGTACTATTTAGAAATTTCGAATTTCCGCTCAAGATAAACATATGTAAGTTTAGTTTACATAAATGCAATAATCTGTTGTTTAAAAAGAAACAATTTCCTTTAAAAATACCAATTAATAGACAACCACCGCTAATCATATTCTTTAAAACTATTCAATTATTTGCAAAAAATATTCGAAATTCTATTTTCAATATCTAGTACCTATTTTCAAAAAAATTTCGCAAAACAATTCAATTATTAAAAAAAAAAAATTTATAAAATTTATCCAAAATACAATTATTTTCATAAATAATAAAATTTCCACCAGGAATATAATTAGATTGGGGTACAAAAGTTCCAAATCGAAAGTTCCAATCGATTTTTAAAAAAATCAAACATTTAACAAAATGTTTATACATGTCTTCGAAATAATTCAATTACTTTCACTAATAATAACATTTTTCATGGAAATTCAATTATTTAAAAAAAAATTTTGATAAAATTCTAAGCAAGAATTCAAGTATTTTCAAAAATAAAATTTTCCACACGAATTCAATTATTTAAAATAAAATTTCCATAAAATTTATTGTATTTCAACAAAATGATTTATTTTTAAAACAATGTTTTTCTTATGAAGAATTCAATTATTTTCAAAAATAACAAATTTTTTCACAGAAATTCAATTCTTTTTAAACATTTTAATAAATTTTTTCGTAATTGTAATTCAATTATTTTCGAAAATAATAAAATTCTTCTCAGAAATTCAATTATTTTTAAAAATTTTAATAAAATTCTTAGCAACTATTCAATTATTTTTAATACAATTTTACAGGATTTGCTCAAAAAATGAAATTA